GATGCTGTGGTTAAGAGTGGAGCATCTAACCACCGATGCTGTGGTTAAGAGTGGAGCATCTGACCCCGGTGCCACCAGGAATCCTTCGTGATGGAGGAAATCAAAACACCCCACCACCATGAAGTGCATTCCACCTCACAGCGACCCCACACAGGGTTTCTAAGGCAGTGGCTCTTTACAGGAGCACACTGCCCTCAAGTGTCTCCCGTGGAGCAGCTGGTGAGTTTGAACTGCTGACCATGTGGTTAGCAGCCCAATGCTTACCCAACAGAGCTACCAGGGCAGTGGCAAATCTGCTCCCCTCGGAGCAGAGGGCGACTGGGTTTGATTCTCAGTCAGTGCGCCTCGTGCGCAGCCGCCCCCATCTGCCAGAGGAGACGTGGGAGCTGCTGTGGCCAGGCGTAGTGTCTGGAGGGGAGCGGAAAGCAAGGACTAAACACCCCCACAAGACCAAAAGCAAGCCAGGACAAAAGACAACCAGTACCAGGAAGTGAGACCAGAGGTTCCGAGTACCAAGGAGGCTGCAAGGAGTCCACAAACAATTCTCGGAGTGACCAGACCCCATTTGCTAATTGCCATACATTCCGGACATTCTTCAATGCCCCTTTAAAGACCTGCTCCGATTGCTGGGCACTACTTGCTAGCCCTTGAACCTCGTCTGGGAGCTTCCCTCTAATCAAGGTACTGCTGTTTCTGCTCCTCCTGGTCCTGCCAACTCTCTCTGTCCATCTCCTGGGGCCTCCGCTTGTCTTGACAAGTAGGTTCAGCACGGCTTCCAGACAGAGACAGACGAAGAAGAAGGGCCTGGCGATGTACTTGTGAAAGCAGTCCATGAACACCCTTTGGGCCACGCGAGTCTGATCCACACCCGGCCATAAGGACAACGCAGGGCCCGGCGGGGCTCCTTTCTGCTGTGCAGGGACTCACCGTGAACAGGGACCAGCTCTTTGGCAACTTCCATCAGGGTGTCCCAGCTGAGACGCCAATGTTGCCAGGGGCAGTGGGGAAACGGGAAACCTCATGAACAGTTTGGCCTGGCGAGCCTCCCCAGCTGAAAGCCCCCACAAGTAGCCGCCATCGTGGTAACAGTCACGATGCCGGCAATGATGGAACCAGGAGCAGCCACCCGGTAGAGCGCCTGCTGTGAGCTAGCCACTGCCCGAAGCGCGTCTTGCACATGCTCACTCCCCAACCCGCCGACAGTCCCAAGACACACGGGCTTCCATGAGCCCCGTGGTCGGGGAGGAAACTGAGTCACGAGAAGTGCGGTTGCTCGTCCGGAGTTGCACAGGGAAAGGGTGACTGAGGGACGCTTGCCCATCATCGCTGGTCTGACCCTGAGGGCTAAGAGCCCAAGTCCCTGCTGAGCCCCAGGAGGGAGCCAGCAGGGTTGAAGCCTGAACCATGGAGAGCCCATGGAGGCCTCTGGCAGCTCAGGAAGTGTGTGTGGCTGGAAGCTGGGCTTCAGAGGCCGCTGAGAATGAGCCAGGGACACCACCACCCCGCCCCCAGCCCGGTCAGGCCTTGGTCAGGGCAGCTTAATGATGGGCTGGATGAGAAGGGGCCCTAAACAACAGGACTCAAGTTCTTCCCGGAGGGCGAAGGGGCTGTACCGGCAGCCTCAATCCGCACAGTGACTATGAGGGATGGTGTTCTCCAGGTGACGAAACAGATGCTCAGAGATGGGCTGGGACTTGTTTAAGGCCACGGAGCTAGGCAGAGGTGGAGCCCAGACCCCAAGGTGCATGTGTCAAACTCTGAAGCCTATGTTTTATTAATGTTCCCGTTACGGTCTTTTTTTTAATTGGAAGGGTGGGGAGGAGCTGCTGTTGGCTTCTTCCTGAAGCAGCAGCTGTAGACCCAGGAAGCCAGGGAAGCTGCCTTGCCGCTGGGTCTAAGGAGGTCAGGTCTTCTGCCGAAAGTGCCTCGCTTTCCAAACAGGATGATGTGGATGGGGTAGTACCTGAATTCCTGGTCGCCCCCTCCCTAGGCGATGAGCATGGAGTCATCTGTCTTATCCTAATGTGTCCCCAGGGCACAGCCCAGTGACTGACACCCAGTAGGCATGCAATAAATACTAGGGCAAATCAAACAGATTTCCACAGCATCGCAGAAACCACTATTGAACAAAACACCACCATGCAGACGGATTATTTCTCAACACTCCCTCCATCTTGGTCTATACACTTCTGAAGGCACAGTTTCCATCTTGCTAACCCTCCTGAAGAACTCTGCCCTCCTTTGATTTACAGCACAGTCAAATAGCAGTCTAGCATCCTCCAGACATGTATGTTGTATTCCCTGTTGCTGTCTTTTGACGGTTAGGAAGGGCCTGCTGGATAAGCGTTGGTTGGACTTTGAATTGCAAGGTTGGTGGTTCAAACCCACGGCTGCTCCGAGGGAGAAAGATGAGCCTCTCTGTTTCCATAGAGACCAGAGCCCTGGAGACCCTATATAGGCTCGCTATTTGTCGGAACCAACACATGGCAGTGGGTGGTGGGGGAGTTGAGTTTGGGGAACACATAAAAGGTCTCAAGGGTAAGGTGACCAGATTTAAAGCAGGACACCATTGACCGGGAGGGGGCAGTTCTTGACTAAAAATTTGGTCTATATGAACCAAATAGACCGTTCCCCTAGCTTGTCGTGCATTCTTTCCAAAAATCGGGACTTTTGAAAACCGCCAAAAATTGGGACTGTCCTGCCAAAAGTGGGACGACTGGTCACCTTACTCAAGGGGCAAAATGCGAGATGCAGGGGGCAGGCTCCAACCGGGGTGGCGGAGTGGTGGGTGAGGCACAATTTCCCAGTGACGTTCTCTTACGACAGCCCTGGTTATCCTTAAAGAATGAGCAGGTGCGTTGTCCCGATAGGAAAAAAAAATCCCTCGGTGAAAATTTCCTGACCTTGTCCAGACCAGTGCGGGTTTCAAAGTTCTTAAAATGTCTTCATCAGAAGGCCCGTGGCCCTCCCATGCCCTTCAAGAAACCCGTCAAGTTCATCCCTGCGGAACCCTAGGAACCAGTCACCATTACCTTCTGATCTTGAATTTCCCTGGTCCAGCAACGCCCCTCAGAAGCGACTGTGTGATCAGACCTTACTTTCATTGGAAGGTGCCCCACGGAGGCTGAGACCCGAGAGTCCCTGAGAAGGCTTGTCTGCAGCCATCCGCCAATCGCAGAGACACACGGACACATACTTCCGTATGGAACAAACCCAGGCACCAATGAACGGGGACCGTCATGGCTAAATGTTGTGACTGACCCTTGTGGCTGATGAACAAGTGGATGGCCTATCATTTCTGGGCGTGGCACACAAGCGGTCTGCAAAGAGAGCAGCCCCTAACTGCCCTCGGTGATGTCTCGGATGTGGGCTCTCCCGCTGACCTCGGACAACTCCGCCCAGTGCTTTTTCCTCCTGGCTCTGCATCCCCCACATTTTCTGGGGCACAGTTTTGTCCTGCAGGTACTCTTGCAACTCTTGTTTCACTGTTGAGAAAGCTGAGGCTCAGAGCCAATCCGCTCACCCAAAGTCACCCACAGATGAGGTGCGGTGGAGCCAGGATGCCCACTTAACAGGCCTTACCACCCCCGTGGTGAAGGAGGAATACTGAATCCTGCTGTCTGTAGCTTACAAGGACAGTGGCAGACAGAGAAAATGGCTAAATGCATGGCCATTGAGCTGATTCTGATTCAGGGAGCCCTCAGGGCAGAGTAAAGCTGGCCCCGGGGGTCTCCATCATCTTTCTCCGGAGGAGTGGCTGGTGGTTTTGAACTTGGCTGACCTTGTGGTTAACAAGCCAACCCACTGTGCCATCAGGGCTCCAGGTAGCTGGAGAGTCCTTTGAAATGAGATGCCGGCACTGTTTTTCCGTGACCACTTCCTCCACAGGCTCTCTGTTCTCTGACATCGGCTGGATGCCTGGGGAGTCTCCACAGTTGCCATGGCACCAGGAGAGCTGAGTATAGTAAGCACCCTGACTGGGAAACTGTCCAGTGGGTGGAGGCCAGGAAGATATGTTTGTGGGCTGATTCTTTACTGAGCCACCTTTGCCCTGGACCCTGAGCTGAGCACTTTTCTTGTGGGGGTCTCATTTTATCCCCCAGTGCCCCACCCATCAGGCTTGAACCCCATTTCACAGATGAGGCAATCAAGGCCTAGTAAGGCTCTCCAGCTTGCGCAGCTGGGAAGCAAAGCCCCCATTTGTTGAACTATCAAGTCCCTCCTGCACCCCGTGACAATGCTGGCCACCACACAAGTGCCTCCTACGAGCCTCTTATTCACCCGTGGGCTTGCTCGGATCCAGCCGTGTCACCCAAGGACACCGAGGCAACTTGCTGAAGGCCCTGTGGATGGCAGTCAGGGCCAGGATAGCTCTGTGGCACCGACTGTCCCGGTGGGGCACTCACCTCCTTGATGAAGTTCATGAACCGGCCACCGAAGCGCCAGGCCTTGTGGCGATGGCACTGCAGGGAGTTGACGGTCATCTGGGGCGCCCGCTGGTAGCACACAGACACGATGTGGACGGCGTCGTAGAGTAAGGCTGCATCCGTCTGGAGGGGAGGGCCAGTGCTGGGAGTGGCTACTGAGCCACCCCCCACCCCCCGCCCTTCTCCTCGACGCCCCTGCCCTGTGTCTCTTCCTGCCCACCACGGGCACATGGGGTCCGGATGAGGGAACCAGCCTGAGGCCCTAGAGGTGACCCTGCCCACGCTTCTGCTGTGAGGTCAGCACTTGGGCCAGCCCAGTGACACTTACACCCTCTGCGGCCTGGCCCGCCCCGTCCCCTCACCCCACGCAGCTCTCTACTGCCTGATCAATCACACAGGCTTTTCTTGCACACAGGCTGGGTCACCTGCCCAGAAACTCCTCCCCGTCTTCACAGGCCTGCCTCTGACCCACCACTCACACACCTGCGGCCCACCCCAGGGGGCTTTGAGAGACGGGCTGTGTCTAAGGTAGAGCTGACACACGGCCCATCTTAAGAAGGGTGTGTGGGGTGGGGAGGAGAGTGGGGAGGAAGAAGTGGGGAAGGAAGATGGGGACAGGAAGGAGCAGGGGAGCCTCCCTGTCCCGGCTGGCTGGCTGTACCATCATCACTCCATCTAGCAGGCCCGACTCGGCTCTCGGGGCTGCCTGCAGCCGCTCCATGGACCACTTCTCCACGATGGCCATGACGTGGGGGTTGTCCACGTTGAGGATGCGGAAGCCCGTCAGGTTCACCCCAGAGTAGCGGTAGGGCTCCAGGTCTAAGGCATAGAGATCCTAGAAGAGGGAGTGGCGTCAGTGAAGGTCAAGCCCCAGAGGGCCAGCTCCTGCCCCTCCTGCACTGGTCCAGATCATCCCCCCAGGGTGGAGCTCAGTGGGAGGAGAGGGGACTTGGAGTGGGATGGGAGCCCTGAACTGAGAGTCCAACTTGAACTCTGGTCTGCCTGACACCTGAGCCCAGATGTCTGTGGCAGAGCCTTGGGCAGACCACCCAGCCTTCTTCCTGCATCTACACAACGGGATGCTACCTCTTGGACAGCATTCACATCAAGCACCCCGCCTCGCACACCGAGCAGCTGGCCCATGCTCATTTCTCTGACAGGCAGGGTCCACTTGGGGAAGACAGAGGGTGTTGGGTCTGGGCATCCATCCCCCAGAAACCCAGAGGAGGTGGAAAGGAATATTCTAACCCCGACCCCCAAAGACCAGCTGACCTTGAATCGACCTCAACTCCGGGTGTCCCCCTCCCCATATGACAGAGGAGTGCTGGGTTTTCAATGACTGATTTCGGGGGAGCAGTTTGCTTGACCTTTCTTCCAAGGCACTTCCGAATGGCCTTGAACCTTCGACCTTCCAGTGACCAGCGTTAATGGTTTGCACCCTCCAGTGGCTGCATTCCAGAGGGCCATGTTGGACTGGTCTCTCCTGCCTAGGCTCAAGCACTACGACTGCCCTCTTTTCTCCCCTCTGCCCACACAGGCCTTCCTCACCTCTGATCAGGGCCAGCTGACCAGGTGGCAGGAGTGTCTGTGATTTGGGTCACCCCCAGGCTGAGGCAGCGGGCAGTGTCCAGGAGGACGGGGCTCAGTGGCCAGGAAAGCTCAGCGCCAGCCCTCCCTGCAGCAGCAGCTCTGAGGCCAGGTGGGCAAATGGGACAGGAGGCAAGGAGGAACAGGGCATGGGGGCCACAGAGGGGCAGCGAGAAGCCAGGTCTCATGTTGAAGGGAGATGACAGAGGAGGAGACGGCATAAAGAGCAAACCCTGGCTCTTCCCTGTTAGCCCCAACCGTCCAGAACTTGGCAGGGACCAGGCCAGGAGAGCAGCAAGTCCTTTCAGGGAGAAGCTGTCGCTGGGGCAGCAGGTCCGCCCAAGGATCAGCTGCGTCTGCGGAGGGTACTCTGGGTCTCACGTCCCCGTCAGCTCCGGGGGTAAGGCCCAGGACTCTGGGTTCACCTGGAGATTTCTGTCCAGTCGCAAATGACCCTAAAGGTGTGGTTTTATTGCTCTGAAGGATGTCAGCCATTTGCATCGCATTCTTTTGTGTGCCTCCCCCCAAATTCCTATAAACGCTCCATTCCCCCACGCGCTGTGGAGCAGCCCTGCCACCCTACTGGCTCCCTCTGTAACGAGTTGAATAAATCTCTGACATGGGGCCGTTTTCTATTTGCACGAGAGCTATGCTTTTCCCTTTTTGGAAAATTATGCATTGACAGTCTAGACTGGCCCCTCCCACTAATGGAGAAACGGGTCGAAAGGCCCTTATCTGAGCTCCTCCTTATCTTGTGCTTCTCTGTGGATGTTCTGCCCCCCGACCAACCTGTTTTCCACCCTGGTCCCCAGGCCACCCTCTCCCGGGCCCCTGCTTTGACGTCACCCTGACTCCCTGCTGGGACAGTGTGAGACTGAGGGCTCATGGACTTGTCTCCATGACTACAGCCATCAGGAGTCACGTCCAACCCCAATGCCAGTTCCAGCTTCTGCTAGCTCCATGGTGTCTCCTGGGGAGAGGATGGGTGATACAAGCTGGGACCCACAGAGCACATCGCTCACCGTCTCTGTGCCCCCAGGTGTTCCCAGTGATGCTAGACGGGGCTTGTTCCCCGTGGGGAGTAGGGGAAAGGTTTGGAACAGACTTGAGCCCAGGCTAGAAAGTTTCATTTCAATGGTAGCTGACCCCACATAGTTCTGATTCTGGTCCGGATTTGGGATGGGGCAGGAATGAGAGCAGGAAGCAGGGCCTTCGGCAGATGAGGGATCCCCACTAAGTACACTAAACAGCAGACAAAAATAAACAAACTCATGGCCATCGCGTCCATCCTAACTCCCAGGGACCCTGTAAGGGCAGCACAGGACTGCCCCGCGGGGATTCCACGCTGTAAACCCTGGGAGAAACAGGGTGCCACATTTTCCTCTGGGGAAGTGGCTGGTGGGTGCGAACCACCAACCTTTCACTTAGCCCCGAGCGCTTTTACCCACTGCACCATCAGGGCTCCTGAGTGGACTAGGGGATGGCCCAGAAATCCATGGGGGGTGGAGGGAGGGTGCCATGCTCATCCATGCACGTGGGATGTACTGTTCCTGACAAAACCCTGCACCAAGTCCACTGCCACTGCGTTGACCCCGACGCAGAGCAACATGACAGAGGGCTTCTGAGGCTGTCAGTCTTGGCAGGAGCAGACATCCTCCTCCTCCTCCCACGGAGAGTCAACGCTTCCCTGCAGCCCCACCAGGACAGCTGGGCGCGTTGAGAGGAGCTCTAGTGCTTCACGGCTGTGCCTTGTGATGCTAACACGAGGTCGGCAGTTTGAAACCCTCGTGGGCGTGGGAGGGAGGAAGACCAGGCTTTCTACTCCCGGGAAGAGTTACAGTCTCAGAAACACCGAGGGCAGTCAGTTTGGTTTTGTCGACTGTAACATTCAGAGGAAGACGTGGGGCCAGGGGAGTGAAGCCATCCGGTTGTACCCAGGATGTGTACCCGGGTCTGTGCCACCATGTGCCGGAGCAAAGCTCACCCTGGTCGGGGACAGCCACTGTCGGCACCACTCCCAACTCTGTGTTCAGTAGCACTGCCTGGGCAGCCTGACAAGGCTGAGGATATTTACACGAGGGAAATTGGCAATGTCTACAAATCAGGGTTTTCCTTCTTCCCTCCAGAGGGCTGCTTGTTTCAGGCTGTTAAGCAGTTACTAGCCTACTCCCATAAAGATCTCCAGCCTCGGAAACGCACAGGGGCCAGCTGTACCTTGTCCTACCGCGTCACTACGTCCACCTTCCAATTACCAGCTGAGCATGTTGAGTCGGCTTGATGGCAGCGATGTTTGGGTCGAGTTTGTGTGACTGTTTGTCTTACTTACAAACTCTGTCTCAGCGGTTGTCATACACAAGATAAACACCCGATTTCCCCGTGGAGGGAGGTACCGATATTCTGATTCCGAGTCCAGAGAGGTGGGGTCATCTGTGTGTTTTGAGAAGTCTCAGTGCCGATCCTCACCTCTATCTTCCCATCTACAAAATGGGTACGACTATACGTAGTGTTGTCCACTGCCTCCAGTCGGCTCCAACTCAGAGAGCAAGCCTGGTGACGATCCTCACCTCTATCTTCCCATCTACAAAATGGGTACGGCTACACGTAGTGTTGTCTGCTGCCTCCAGTTGGCTCCAACTCAGAGAGCAAGCCTGGGTGTCATAAAGCAAACACTGCCTGGCCCGCGCCATCCGCACAATGGTTCTGAGGTCGGAGCCCATGCTTGTAGCCTCTGCGTCAATCCACCTTGTCTGGGCCTGTTCTCTTTTTCACTGCCCCTCTCCTTGACCAAGCTTGACATCCTTTTCCCAGGCCTGGTCTCTTCTGACAACATGCCCCAAGTACGTGAGACCAAGTGTCACCATTCTCACTTCCAAGGCGGTTCCGGCTGTACTGCTTCCAGGACGGGTTTGTTCTTCGGGCAGTCCCTGGAAAGTTCACTATCTTTGACATCACTACAATCAAATGCATTGATTCTTCAGTCTTCCTTATTCAATGGCCAATGTTCATATGCAAATGAAGCAATTAAGAATACTATGGCTTGGGTGGGTGCACCTAAATCTTCAAAGTAACAGCTTTGCTTTTTACCACTTTAAGAGGTCTTGGGCAGCGGATTTACCCAATGCAATGTGCTGCCTAATCTCTTGACTGCTGCTTCTGTGACCATCGATTGTAGATCCAGACAAGGAAACATGCTTGACAACGCCATTGATAACAGCACCTACCATAGAAGGCTGTCACGTGGAAGAAGCGAATGACTAGATGTATGTAACGCATACTGAGTACTCCTAAGAGTTTACTGTAGGAGCCCTGGTGGCATAGTGGGTTGCACACTGGGCTGCTAATTATAAGGTCAGTGGTTTGAACCCACTCACTGCCCTGCAGGAGAAAAGTGAGACTGTTCCCATACAGATGTTTGAAGTCTGAGAACCCCAAAGGCAGTCCTTCTCTGTCTTGTAAGCTCATTGTGAGTTGGAATTCACTCGATGGCCGTGAGTCTGGTTTTGGGAAGTGTTTGCTGAATCTTTATCATCCACCTTCTCTGCCAACCAGACATAACAATGACTGGATACAGTCCCAGAGGACATGCTGGCTTATTTGAAGAGGCCCGGCCTGGGCTGGGTCCATTCTGCCTTGCCCTCCTGGCAACATAAAAACATTGCCGATAAACCTCAGGAGAGTCCTGGTGGCACAGTGATTACCCGTTGGGTTGCTAACTACAAGGACAGCAGTTCAAAACCACCAGCTGTTGGGAGGGAGGAAGTCGAGGCTCTCTATTCCTGGAAAGAGTGGCAGTCTCAGAAACCACAGGGACAGTTCTGCCGCGTCCTATAGGGTCACACTGCGTCGGCATCGACTCGATGGCAGTGCGGTTGGTTTTGTGTCTTGTTGGTTCTACAAGTCTTCTACTCACTAACTTAACTAATTCCTATTACAACCTGATTCGGGGGGTGTTCATATCACACCCTCACAGGGAAGTCACAGAGAACTGGGGAGCAATAGAAACACCCAGGCAGGCCGTCTCTGGGCCCTTCCCACCTCCACTGATGGAAGAAGCCCCTCCCACCCACAGACCCCCCAGCTCGCACATGCCCCGCCCTCCACACGGGAACTGGAGGAACCTTTCTGAAGTGAAATACCAGCCACTCACTCCCCTGCTTAAAAGACCCCAATGGCGCCTGACTGCTTCTCAGACTCTAGTACAAAGGCCTCGGTCCAGTTTATAGGGGTTTTACTTCCCTTCCCACTTTTCCCTCCAGGAACGACGGACCCTTTTAGGCCCGTTCCTTGTAGCCATCCCCCATCACGCGCAGTTCTTGGGCTCTGGGCTTCTCCACCTCTCCTCTGCGGGTGAAGTCTGTATAATCCAGCTGAAGTGCCACCTCTTCCAGGCTGCCTCCCCTGGTCACTTCTTTCACAACAAAAGAGACCCACAGCAGTGCTTCTGTTCTGGTCCTGGCTCTCACCCCAGTAAATGACGACACTCTTCCCTTTAGTCCCTGGGCCTATATGCCTGTCACCTGAGTAGCACCCTGAGGCACCTAACCATCACCAGGAAGAGCCTCCTCTCTTGCCTGGTTTGGGGATGAAGTCTAAGGGGACCGCTCCAGAGACAAACAGCCTTCAGAGGAGGCTGGCGTGGCGGCACTGGCCCTTTTGTTTAGCAGAGCGTTACATGCACGTATGGGGCCGGCCTGTGTCCAGCGGGCACCCTGCCGACCCTCCGTCTGCACAGAGCTCCAGCCGTCTCCTGGGACATGCTGATCTACTTACTATCTCTGACCCCACAGATGCCAAAGCCTTGGGCTGCCCAAGACCTTGGTGGCTCAGTTGACCGCTCCTCTGGGACCAGAGGCTGCTCGGACTCAGAGTGAAGGGTGGCATCTCCTCTGGCGGCAGTGGGGTGGGCTTTGGTGACACCTGCAGCACCCAGATGTGGTATTTGGCCCGTTGAGACGGACACAGAGACTGCAGCCCATTCTCGCCTGGGAGTGGGCGCGACAGGGTGGCAGTGCTAGGGGGGCGGGTGGTTCTCTCCCCTCCCTGTCCTCTTAGGGCCTGGGATTAGCTGCCAAGTGGTATAGGGCACAGAGTGACCCCGCCCCCGAGACACGAGGGCAGCGAGCAGAGAGCTGGCGACGAGGTCTCCCTGTCTGGCTCCAGCTCCGTGTCCACACCGCCCTGGGCCAGGACCCCGCGTGCAGTACACAGTGAACTGTGCACAGCCTTGCCGCTTGGCAAAAAGTTGCAGTTCTCGATGCCAAATGTTGACACATTGAATTCAGTATCGACGAGGGACCTTTTAGAAACATTCAGCCTAACATAATAGACTAATTCATTAGCACCCCATGGGTCTGACTGGGTAGAAGCTGCAGCTCAGAAAACATCGCCTTAAGGAATGACAGATGAAAATATCTTTCCCATGATATAACTGTTATTGCCGGGAAGTGGCATTAATTGTGATTGCTTATCTATTAATTTATTATAATGCCTTTTTCACCTCCAGGCTTCTACCTACACATGACATGTAACAGGGTCTCAGCTGGGGCTGATTAACGCGGGGTTAGCTGGGGAAGGCCCAAAGCTGGCTGGAAAAGATAATGGCAGCAGGGTAATTAGAACGTCCTCTGCGTGGGAGAGGCAAGTTTGGAGGTGTTTGAGGTAGAAGCGTTAGTGACGTGAGGGTCCAGAAGGGAAGGCGACACGTGCCAAGTGCCATTGCCCTTTTGGGAAAATACAGCCACAAGTGACCAGCGGGCACGCAGACCCAGAAAGAGGCAGGCTTTCAAGACCAAGGCCCGAGGCAGCAGGGCCGGGCCGGGTTCAGGGGGGTGGGGCGGGGGCAGTCCTGGAGCTGGAAGGCAGGCTGGAGGAAGGGGCCTGGGTGGCGTGGTAGTTACGTGTCCGTAGTTCGGAACCCTCAGCAGCTCCTCGGGAGAAAGACGGGGCTTTCCACTCTTGTGACAGTGCCAGTCTTGGAAACTCACAGGGCCAGTGCTAACCTCCCCGTAGGGTCGCTACGAGCTGTCACTGATTTGAAGGCAGTGAGTTTGCCCTTTGTCCGGTGGGGCGATTGCTCAGTCTTGGTTTCCATGTCTGCACAAAACCAGGGGCAGTTCTAGGGTAAGGTGGCCAGATTTTACCATTGGTAAAGCGGGACACCATTGATAAAACTCATATCCTGGCGAAATAGCCACATGGCAGCCGAAAACCATATAACCTAGCTTGTCGTGCATTCTTTCCAAAAATCGGGACTGTTTGAAAACGCTGCGGACGCGGGGAAAATTGTTAAAAATCGGGACTGTCCCGCCAAAAGCGGGACGTCTGGTCACCTTATCCTAGTGCCCTTGGAAAGCCATTCTGAATTCTGAATGAGATGGGGTATGCCAGCCACACAGGGAACAAGCGGGAGTCATTCAGCTCGCTTATACAGCACTTCCATGGGACTTCCTGAGTGCCAAGCATGGCTCACGGCAGCTAGCCGGCACCAGTGCATTCGGCCCTACTAATGACATGGCCCTGCGGGCGCATCCTGACCACCCGTCTCTGCCCCTTACCCCCCCCATGACTTTGGGCTAGAGTGTGCTGCTCCTCCCACCAAAGGCAGGAAAAGAAGGGATTGGAGGCCCTGAAGCCCAGCGACACAGGGATTCCCTTTTGCTGAAGAGGCAGCGGAGGCCTATGGGCAAAGCTCAGAGCTGAGGGAGCAGGCAGGCCCGCCTTGTCTGCACACGCCTCACGGGGCTGCAAGGCCTAGTGCCGCTGGACGACATGGTCTGCCCGACTGGCTGCCCCAGGCTCACCCATAGCTGTCCCTGGGAGGGCAACACCCCCCCACCCCCCACCCCCCAACTATCTCTCTGAACCCAGACTTCAGCGAGTGTCACTGTCAGTCCTAGCTCTGAATGGAGGTGGCCCAGGAGGAGGTCTGGCCTCCAGAGACTCCGCAGGGTGTGGCATGGCATGGCAGGATCAGGCTGGCACAGGCAGGCAGAGCCAGAAGGGACTTAGGCCAAGGGGGTGCCTGGTCTCATTCGCCAGCTTCCTGGATCTCTTTCTACTAATGTGGTTCCTAGCAGGTCCCTCCTGAAGCCTGCACCCTGGATTGAGAGACCCTGGGGTGGCCGTGGGCATAGGATGCAGTGAGTGGGCACACAGATAGGGGCACACGCTGGGACATGTCTAACAACTGGCTCTCAGGGTGCGGGTGGGGGGCTCTCGTTTATAGCATTGGCTGGTTTAGGTGGGCTAGATACTCCCACCGCTTTGAACTCCTAGCGTGGTGGAGCTGGGGGGAGAAGGACGCAGTGAATCCAGAACACCACTGGGCAGCTCCCCTGCCTCTTGGCCTTTGCTTATGCGTGGACATTGCTCTCTGTGCAGTGTCCTGCCAGCCTCTCTCCTTGGTGAGCACCTAGGGATCCTGCAAGGTCTCATTCAAGCATCTGCTTTTCCAGATAGCCTGCCTCCGACATCCCGACTCCTGCCTGTCCCGCTGCAAGCTCCCTCCGCTGAGCCCCTCGGGTGGCTGTCCAGGCCGGTGACAGCTCAGGCTTGCTGTATTGGAGATAGACATAGGGGTGAAGCCCAGAGGGGGTGGGAACACCCAGAAGGCAGGTCCTGGAGCTCTGGGAGCAGAACAGTGCCCTGGATGAAGGAAGAGTGGGTGGGACACAAAAGCCTGCCGGACGTCCTGGTTAACTTTGCAGGAAGCTGGCTTACAGGTTAGTGAGGCCACTTCCCCGGGCCCTTGGGTGTCCAGCTCCAAGATAGAGGCTGGGTGTTGGCCCCCTCAGTCCGGGGAGCTCTTTTTTCCTGCTGATCTCAGGCCATAGATCATCATCCTGGTGGGGTGGGCTTTATGTGGCCCTACATACTCTCAGTCTGGACAGGTGGGTCGGCTGGGCTGAGCACAGGGCCACACTTCAGTGTGGATGTCACAGGAGTCCAATGTGGCCCTTCCTGTAGCTGCCCAGGTCTGTGACCTGAGTGGGGCCGCATGGGCCAGCAGCCAAGGGGATGCTGGGGACTTTGGGTAAGAGTGGCACCCGGGTCCACTTCTCTCTGCGTGCCAGGCACTGCTCTCAGAGTGCTGTGGACTCACGGGATCCTCCTGACAATCCCACGGGGCAGAGCCGTCCGCATCCTAATTTACGGAGGAAGACACCACAGGTGGGAGGGTTAGGGACCTGGACAGGCCTGTGAGCACATTGGATCCGGAGTCTAGGCTCGCAATCACCCTGAAGTCGAGGCTCAGAAACGAGTGGGTCCCGAGGCATCTTTGAGCCTTTCCCTTGAATCCCCGTCTGCAGCCTTGGGAAGGACGTCCAACCACAACCCCCTCCCGCTGGGGTGGGGCAGGCAGGAAGCCTGACCTTCCAGCTGCTAGGGTGCCCGCCCACCCTCTCTCCCTCCCTCCCTCCCGAGCCTGGGCCCAGGGCACGTACCAGTGTGGTAAAGATGAAGTGGTAGTACTCCGTCATCATGCCCATGGCCATGGCCTGTAAAGAAGCAGCGTGTCAGGACTGCAGAGACCCCTGCCCCAGGCCCCTGCGGAAGGACAAGGCTGGCAGCACGGAGGGCAGGAGCTGCTCAGGTGGGTGCTCTTTGGGGCCCCCTCTGAAGAGTTTGGCTGGCAGGTAATGGAGTTGGCCCCTGGGACATACCGAAAGGCAGATTTCGACCCAGGGAGATGGGGGGGAGGTGTACCCCGATTGCTGTCTGTTTTATTTTTTTTCTTCCCAAGTTGGGTTCTTGATTTATATGTGAAGCTCATGACGCCGCCTTTTCTCCCTCACTCTCTGTGAAACAATTTCCGTTTTTTTTTGTTTTTGGTTGGGATTGAAGGGACACACGGTGAAACACCTGCCAGCTCCGTGTCCACATGTGCAGCTTAGTGGCCCCGATCACACGCTTTGTGGGGTGACCATGCTCACCCTCCTTGTCCTCCCCTCTTGGCATAAACTCGCTGCCCCGCCGGGACGCCACCCTCCCCTCCCCCAGGCTCCCTTCTGGAGCTGCTGACATTTCATCTGATGTCTGGCTCTCAGGAAGCTTCTCTGGAGGGGCCACACACTGAGACGGTGACCTGCCCTCAGCCAGGAGATGCCTTCCCAAAAATCCAGGACTTGAGCCAGCCCAGCTCACCGTCCTGGCTCCAGGCACCCCTGCTCCCCGCTAGGCCCACAGGGGAGTGTCTGTGCTCAGTCGGAGCCTCCTCCACACGCACACACACCCCTGCTCCCTGGGCCCTGGCTGACCCCGGCTGTCAGGGAAGTGGTTCTTTTATTTTGAAAAGAACTCGTACGTCGCTAAAGAATCCAGGTCTGGCTCAGTTTTACCTCTCTTTCTTTAACAGCCACTCAGACCACTGTGGAGATCTGATGGGCAAGGAATTGGGAAGGGTTTGAGGCTGGGACCCTGCTGTCTCTCTCTTTAAAGATGTTAGCCTTACTCATTTATCTGGATACACACACGCACATCCCCCTTTGTTTGCAGAGATCACCGTTACAAAGAAAACCATATTCTAAAAAACATATTCATATTCATCAGATCCAATCAGCACCAGGACTGGGGCCGTTCTACGGTGAGGCTGACGTTGCACAGGTTGTAAGCATTTTATGTGTCATCATCTGTCATACTAATCATGACTACGATGGGTTCGAGGTCCTCAAAATAAATGCTGGACCCACAAGACCTCTGGGGCCCCAGCCCCCTGCGTCCCGGCGCACCCTTAGGGAGCCCCGTGCTGGGCAGCGGGCTGCAGGACCGTTCTCTCTGCCTTTGACCCGGGACGTTTTCCAACCAGACAGACCTGGGGGTGGTAAGCACCGACGTCACTGGCTGGGCAGCTGGATGACCACGGGCCTGTTTCTTTCCCCGTGAGCCTCAGTTTCTTCATCTGTGAGCTGGGCACAACAAGGGTGCCTACCTGCTGGTCTGGTGGTTGCCACTGGGATTTCACACACACACACACACACACAC